TAAAAATTATGAAAAAATTCAGGGACGTAGATCTCGACACGCTGATTCCAAAAATATAGCATGTTGATGGTCACGAAGCAACATTTTCGAAAAAATCGCTGCGAAATGCGAATTTTTGAAAATTTCAATAATTTCCATGTTTCAACGGTCGATTCTGGAAAAACGGTTGCTGGTATCACAAAATCGAAGCCGGATTTGAGTTCTAGAGCTAGAAATCTACAAGAAAATGTATTTAGTTGAGTTTCGAAAATGTCAAAATTTTTGCGAAATTTGAAGAAGGGGGGACCATTAAAAAATTTCAATTTTAAAAAAGTTGTCTAAAAATTATGAAAAAATTCAGGGACGTAGATCTCGACACGCTGATTCCAAAAATATAGCATGTTGATGGTCACCAAGCAACATTTTCGAAAAAATCGCTGCGAAATGCGAATTTTTGAAAATTTCAAAAATTTCCATGTTTCAACGGTCGATTCTGGAAAAACGGTTGCTGGTATCACAAAATCGAAGCCGGATTTGAGGTCTAGAGCTAGAAATCTACAAGAAAATGTATTTAGTTGAGTTTCGAAAATGTCAAAATTTTTTCGAAATTTGAAGAAGGGGGGACCATTAAAAAATTTCAATTTTAAAAAAGTTGTCTAAAAATTATGAAAAAATTCAGGGACGTAGATCTCGACACGCTGATTCCAAATATATGGCATGTTGATGGTCACGAAGCAACATTTTCGAAAAAATCGCTGCGAAATGCGAAATTTTGAAAATTTCAAAAATTTCCATGTTTCAACGCTCGATTCTGGAAAAACGGTTGCTGGTATCACAAAATCGAAGCCGGATTTGAGTTCTAGAGCTAGAAATCTACAAGAAAATGGATTTAGTTGAGTTAAGAAAATGTCAAAATTTTTGCGAAATTTGAAGAAGGGGGGACCATTAAAAAATTTCAATTTTAAAAAAGTTGTCTAAAAATTATGAAAAAATTCAGGGACGTAGATCTCGACACGCTGATTCCAAAAATATAGCATGTTGATGGTCACGAAGCAAGATTTTCGAAAAAATCGCTGCGAAATGCGAAATTTTGAAAATTTCAAAGATTTCCATATTTCAACGGTCGATTCTGGAAAAACGGTTGCAGGTTTCACAAAATCGAAGCCGGATTTGAGTTCTAGAGCTAGAAATCTACAAGAAAATGTATTTAGCTGAGTTTCGAAAATGTCAAAATTTTTTCGAAATTTGAAGAAGGGGGGACCATTAAAAAATTTCAATTTTAAAAAAGTTGTCTAAAAATTATGAAAAAATTCAGGGACGTAGATCTCGACGCGCTGATTCCAAAAATATATCATGTTGATGGTCACGAAGCAACATTTTCGAAAAAATCGCTGCGAAATGCGAATTTTTGAAAATTTCAAAAATTTCCATGTTTCAACGGTCGATTCTGGAAAAACGGTTGCTGGTATCACAAAATCGAAGCCGGATTTGAGTTCTAGAGCTAGAAATCTACAAGAAAATGGATTTAGTTGAGTTAAGAAAATGTCAAAATTTTTGCGAAATTTGAAGAAGGGGGGACCATTAAAAAATTTCAATTTTAAAAAAGTTGTCTAAAAATTATGAAAAAATTCAGGGACGTAGATCTCGACACGCTGATTCCAAAAATATAGCATGTTGATGGTCACCAAGCAACATTTTCGAAAAAATCGCTGCGAAATGCGAATTTTTGAAAATTTCAAAAATTTCCATGTTTCAACGGTCGATTCTGGAAAAACGGTTGCTGGTATCACAAAATCGAAGCCGGATTTGAGGTCTAGAGCTAGAAATCTACAAGAAAATGTATTTAGTTGAGTTTCGAAAATGTCAAAATTTTTTCGAAATTTGAAGAAGGGGGGACCATTAAAAAATTTCAATTTTAAAAAAATTGTCTAAAAATTATGAAAAAATTCAGGGACGTAGATCTCGACGCGCTGATTCCAAAAATATATCATGTTGATGGTCACGAAGCAACATTTTCGAAAAAATCGCTGCGAAATGCGAAATTTTGAAAATTTCAAAAATTTCCATATTTCAACGGTCGATTCTGGAAAAACGGTTGCAGGTATCACAAAATCGAAGCCGGATTTGAGTTCTAGAGCTAGGAATCTACAAGAAAATGTATTTAGTTGAGTTTCGAAAATGTCAAAATTTTTTCGAAATTTGAAGAAGGGGGGACCATTAAAAAATTTCAATTTTAAAAAAGTTGTCTAAAAATTATGAAAAAATTCAGGGACGTAGATCTCGACACGCTGATTCCAAAAATATAGCATGTTGATGGTCACCAAGCAACATTTTCGAAAAAATCGCTGCGAAATGCGAATTTTTGAAAATTTCAAAAATTTCCATGTTTCAACGGTCGATTCTGGAAAAACGGTTGCTGGTATCACAAAATCGAAGCCGGATTTGAGGTCTAGAGCTAGAAATCTACAAGAAAATGTATTTAGTTGAGTTTCGAAAATGTCAAAATTTTTTCGAAATTTGAAGAAGGGGGGACCATTAAAAAATTTCAATTTTAAAAAAATTGTCTAAAAATTATGAAAAAATTCAGGGACGTAGATCTCGACGCGCTGATTCCAAAAATATATCATGTTGATGGTCACGAAGCAACATTTTCGAAAAAATCGCTGCGAAATGCGAAATTTTGAAAATTTCAAAAATTTCCATATTTCAACGGTCGATTCTGGAAAAACGGTTGCAGGTATCACAAAATCGAAGCCGGATTTGAGTTCTAGAGCTAGGAATCTACAAGAAAATGTATTTAGTTGAGTTTCGAAAATGTCAAAATTTTTTCGAAATTTGAAGAAGGGGGGACCATTAAAAAATTTCAATTTTAAAAAAGTTGTCTAAAAATTATGAAAAAATTCAGGGACGTAGATCTCGACACGCTGATTCCAAAAATATAGCATGTTGATGGTCACCAAGCAACATTTTCGAAAAAATCGCTGCGAAATGCGAATTTTTGAAAATTTCAAATATTTCCATGTTTCAACGGTCGATTCTGGAAAAACGGTTGCACCTATCACAAAATCGAAGCCGGATTTGACTTCTAGAGCTAGAAATCTACAAGAAAATGTATTTAGTTGAGTTTCGAAAATGTCAAAATTTTTGCGAAATTTGAAGAAGGGGGGACCATTAAAAAATTTCAATTTTAAAAAAGTTGTCTAAAAATTATGAAAAAATTCAGGGACGTAGATCTCGACACGCTGATTCCAAAAATATAGCATGTTGATGGTCACGAAGCAACATTTTCGAAAAAATCGCTGCGAAATGCGAATTATCGAAAATTTCAAAAATATCGATATTGGAATTTAAATAGAAACAACAAAAAAATTGAATAAACGGATAAACCGAAAAACTGGAAAACCCAAAAATTGTAAAATCGAAAAACTAAAAAATTAAGAATCGAAAAATTGAAGGAATGGAAAATTTTAAAATAATGATTATTATTATATGCATATTTAAAGACTAGAATAATTGCAAATCAAAAATTGAAGAAATGAGAAACTGAAAAATCTAAGGCTGAAAAATCTAAAAATTGAAAACCGAAAAATTACAAATCGAAAAATTGAAAAATCCATCCAAAAACTAAAAAATTTTGGAAAAAAGGAAATCTAATAATCAGAATATTGAAAAACCAAAAAACTAAAAAAAATTGTAAAGTCGAAAAAGCGGAAGATCGAAAATTTGCAAATCGAATAACCGAGGAAAACGAAAAATTGGTGAATAAAAAAATTGGAAAGACGAACAAAAAAAAATAAAAATAGAAGATTTGAAAAAGTCAAACCAAAAAACCTGCGGAAGTGTTATTTACGACAATGGTTTAAAAAAAATGTTCGTTCTGTTAAGTTACTTTCATGTCGTTAGATTTGCCCTACTGTTTAATGGTACTCGGATTCTGATTGATTTTGGGTGTGTTCTTATCGGTCAATTCTATCATTTTATCGTAAAAAATGCAGCTAAAAACGTAAAGCAGATGCAAGTTGCGTCAGCTTGACGTTATTTTCCTCAAAAACTCGCAATCACCCGAAACCCTTTTTAGTTATTTTTTTGTCGTCGGGTTTGCCAATTTGCACCCCTGTCTAGTGGTTTGTGACTTTCCGACCTCGTGTCTGCTTTTATCGACTCATTTCATCGTTTCATCGTGAAAACGACCCATTTTACCAGTAAAAACGTAAAGTAGAGGCAAATTGCGTCAACTTCATTAATAAAACTCAATTAATTCTCAAGACTTTTTAGTTATTTTTTACCGTCAAGTTTGCCCATTGGCGGCCCTGTTTGGTGGTGCGTCACAACGGTTTTTGACTTTTGGATTTTAGGGGTGCTTTTATTGAAGAATTTTGTGAATTTTTCCCCAAGTAGTAACAGTGTGACATTAAAATCGTAAAGTTGAAGTTAGTGGCTGCACTTTCACGTATAAATTCGTGGAAAAACTAGAAATTACCGGTGAGATTCGTTACTCAATATTAGGCTGAAATTTGCTTGTTCGAGCTTGTTCGCACTCTTACATTCTTTAATTATGTAATTAATCATGATTTATGAGCCACTTTTTGAAAAATTAATCATTGCAAACGTGGTTCTGGTTCAAATTATTCGTGGTGGCTGACGCAATCACGAAGTGATTCGAATTTCGAGGAACCAATCGGCCCGATAGGGCCAATTGACTGTTTGGCTACGAAGTTTTCCGAATTCGACACGAACAGGTATGAACTTGGCGCTTTTGAATTGTTCGGTGCGAATAACCAAAGCCGTTAAATTTCAAGTGTCGCCAATAACGCTTTTGTTAATACTGGAGGTGTGCCAAAATTTCGAAAACGTATTTGTATAATGGCTGCCAAATTTGAATAGGTTATGAGATAAGAAATCAACAAGTCACCAGTCAATGGACTCTCGATTTAAAAAAAAAAATAGTAGTCACACGTATCGTATTTTTGTTAAAATTTCCGTTTAATAAATTAATAACAGACAAACAAAGAGAAACTTACATTTTCGTATGTTACGGACCACGAAACACTCGATTTTGGATTTTCCGTTGTTCAATTTTCGACTTTATAGTGGACTGCGTTGCGCTTATCTTTTATCAAAAACAATGCTGTTTTTAAAATGTCAAATGCTGCAGATACGCATTTTTTGTTGTAACTTATGAAGAAATAAAATAATATACACTTACCTGTGGTTAAATTTTCAGCAATGATCCAGTTTTGTTCGAAAAAATGGGACAAATCTGCATATCCGTAAACGGCACACTGAAACTTGCTGATATCTTAATGCTATAATATATGACCACCATGTAATCTTTGAAATACTTTGGAACTATCTCGTTAAGCAGCAGACGAATCGATCAGCAGGTCGTTGTGCTGTCCTGTTCATCCAAACCAGGATTTTTACACATTTGTCTGCTGCTTAGCATGCATACGTCTGAATTAGAAATACAGTTTCAGATTGCGTTGTGCACAAGCCATTATTCTGTTTATTTGTTCAGTGATAAAATATGTGGACGTACTTAACAACAAGTGGGTATTTATGCGCAAAATGATAAAAAAAATTGGTCTAAAGAGTTTAGACAGTACTTCCCTCGCTGTCGGAAACTTGACGACTGCATGCATGCCTATTGTGTTTTTTTTCTCATTACATTTTTGTAGTGGGAATTTAAAACAAATTGCGATGACGTCATCAACATTTTTGCAAGAACACGTATATCAGTTGGGATAGATGTAGTGTAATACTAAGAATAAAATTATTGTATTCCCAAATTTTCGGGAAAATGAATTGGGTCGTTTTGAATATTGATTTGTTATAATCAATAAAATAACGAAACAATTTACTCACGTATACGTATCAGAGGCAACTGAAAATCGTGTATGTATAAACATTCTTAATTTAAGATGACAGGCGTAACAGCATACGTGAGAGTCAAACAGAGAAACTGTAAACAAAACGACCATCGGTTTTATTGCTTCGACTTCCGCTTATTATATAAAACATTGGGTTTTATTTTAATTTTTGACGGTGGAATTCACAATTGGTTGATTATAAACATGTCTATACCACATTCGCTGAACCTAGTTAGCGCACAAAACAAATGCACGTCTGTAATGTTAAAGTAGATGTAAATAAGCGTGTTACCCTTATGTTTCAACCGAGTTTTTACTTTAAAAAATTTTGTGTCTACCAAATTGGGTTGGTCCAATGTAATACTAATAATAAGTGTTGCCTTTAATTTAATCAATAAAATAAATTGACTTCATTAATATTTTTGAGCAACCTCTTAAGAAAATCGAAAAAATATGAATGGAATGATAAATCACAAGTACAATCGCTATATCGATTGTACTTGTGACAATCGCACGCAAATGTTTTGAGCCTATGGGCGGATCGTTTTTGCCTGCCCTCACCGAAGAAGGCGGTCCAAATCCTTCAAGGGCAGAATTTGTAGGTAGGCTTAAACTACAACGAAATTCACATTTTACCCTATAAAATTTTATTGACAATAACGGGACGGACAGTAGTTATATATACATTTGGTAAGAAATATTTATGGCTCACATCAGTTCTCTCGAATTTGTCGGAGAAGATTTAGCAGGTAGTTGTTCCCATAAAATAATGGTCACTTTCGTTCGTGAGTAACGATGGTCCGGACATGAATTATTTTGCTTTCTAACATCTTTCGACCAATTGTTCCGTATAAAAAATTTCATCACTTTTTCAAATAAAATACTCTTAAAAAAAACGATATTGTCGTTGAGTGACATGTAACTGGCATAATAATAAAAACGTGCCATTTTTGTTAACTGATATTTTTTTCATAAATGTCGCAAAATTATTAAATTTGTCTAATCATCCCCGCCAATAATGTGATGACGTCACTTCAAATTTATGCATAGTAAATGGGTTTTAAATTGTATACAGTAACATAGTCCTACACATGTAGTTTATGACTCCGTGTTGAGTTTTTATCCGAAACGTCCAGATTTTTGGAAAAAAAATCAAAATTATAAAACAATATTTTGCAATTTAATTTTGAATTTGCAAAATCGAATACTTTGAAATCTTGCAGATGTTTTAAAATCATGATAAACATGATACATTTTTAATTAAAATATATTTGCTTATCCCCTCTAAAAAATTTATGACGTCACCTCAAAATTTTGCAGAATAAATCCTATCTTAAATGTATAAAATATGATGAGTTTTATAGTTGTGATTTATCACTGCATTAATATTTTTTAGATTTGGTTATACAGGGTGTCTCAAAAAAGTTAATGACTGATTCAATTTATTTTATTGAAGAAATCAAGAATAGCAAAACTGAATACTTTGAAATATTGTAGATGTTTTGAAGTTTTTGTAAGCATGGTAACTTTTTCGAAAATTTGATTAATCAAATATGCGCAAAATCAAAAATCGGAAAAACTGAAATTCACTAATGCAAAAAACAGAAAATCGAAAAATACAAATCGTAAAAATCGAAAATCTAAAAATGGCTAATCAAAAAATCGAAAATTCAATGAATCAAATACCTAGGTCGATCGAAAAGTGGAGATTCACAAACCTCAAAAATCGAAAATTGAAAAACGGGAAAACCAAAAAATCGAAAAGTCAAAAATTTGTAATATTGAAAATTAAAAAAATCAAAAACAAAAATAAAAAAATCGGAAATTAAAATAATCAAAATATATAAAGTAAAAAAAATTGCAAAGCCTAAAAACTGAAACGAACAGAAAAATCGAAAAAGCAAAAAATTGGAAAAACAAAAATTCGAAAAATCTAAAATCGTAAAAGCGGAAAATCGAAAATCTGAATAAAGAAACTTGGAAATTCTGAAAATTGGAAAATCGAAAACCAAAAAATCGGAAAGTAACAAAATTGAAGTCTAACAGTTGAGAATGGAAAAATTGAAAAACCGAAAATTCTAAAAATCGACAATGGACAAATTGAAAATCGCAAAATTTAAATTGAAAAATTGAACATAGAAAAATCGATGAATTGAAAAATCGAAAATTCGACTACTCAAATTTTCTAAAAAGCGAAAAATCATAAAACTGAAAAATCCAAAATTCTAATCATCGAAAGCCTGAAAACTGAAAATCGAAAATTCTGAAAAGCGGAAAATAGAATATCGAAAAATTTAAAAGAAAGAAAATTGAAGTCTAAAAACCGAAGAATGGAAAAATTAAAAATCAAAAATTCGAAAAATCAAAACCGAAAAATTCAAAGTTTTAAAAAGAAAATCGAAAAATCAAAAATCTGAAAATGGAAAGACGAAAAATCGAAAATTGAAAGAATGGCAAATTAAAAAATCAAAACATCGAAAAATCAAAAAAACGAAAAATTAAAAAATCGAAAAACAAAAAAACTGAAAACTCGAAAAATCAAAATACCGCAAATTTGAAAAACCAGAAAATTAGAAAGTAATAAAATCGAAAAGTTGATAGAAAAATGGAAACTGAAAAATCTAATTCGATGAGACTGTTGGTCGAAAAAACGAAAAATCGAAAATCGAAGTGACCTTTTTTTGAAACAGGCTGTATAAGTAAATCGAGTTTCGAAAATTTGGAAAATCGAAAAGTAAAAAAATTGAAGTCCAAAAGCTGAAAAATGGAAAACTGAACAATCGAAAATTCTAAAATCAAATATCGAAAAATCGAAAAGCCGAAAAATCGAAAATTTGATAAATCAGATATGCGAAAAACAGAAAATCTGAAAATATAAAACTGGAAAATCAAAAATCTAAAAATGGAAAAATCGAAAATCGAAAATTCATAATATTGAAAACTCTAAAAGTCGACAATTCAAAAATCAAAAAACTGGAAAAAAAATCGAAAAATCGAAAAGTAAACAAATTGCAAAGCCTAAAAACTGACGAACAGGAAAATCGAAAAATCGTAAAATCAAAAAGTGGAAAATCGAAAACTGGAAATTGAAAAATCGAAGATTGGAAAATCGAAAAATCGAAAATCGGAATATCGAGAATCGACAAATTAAAAAACCGAAAAATCGAAAAATTAAAAAATCGGAAATCGAAAAATTAAAAAAAAAAACGAAAATTCAAAAATCGAATAATCCGAAACTAAAATAATAGAAAAGTGGAAAAGTAAAAATTGCAAAGTCTCAAAACTGACGAACAGAACAATCGAAAAATAAAAAAGAATCGAAAAATATCTAAACATGGAAAATCGAAAAATCGAAAATCGGAAAATGGAAAAACCGAAAAATCGAAAACTCGAAAATTCGATGAAACAAATACTCGAAAAAACGAAAAGTAAAAAAATTGCAATTCCTAAAAATTGAAAAATCAAAAAATCGAAAAAATGAAAATCGAAAAAACGACGATCGAAAAAAAATCAAAAAATCGAAAAGTGGAAAATCGGAAAGTCACAAAATTGAAATCTAAAAGCTGCAAATTGCAGAACCATAAAAACTGAAACAAACAGAAAAATCGAAAAACCACAAAAGCGGAAAAACGAAAATCGAAAATTCGCAAATCGAAAAATCGTAAAATCAGAAAATGGAAAATCGAATAATCGAAAGTTGAAAAATTGAAGGTCGAAAAATAAAACAACCGAAAAATTTTATGATTAATGGAAAATCGAAAAATCGAGAATAGAATAATTAAAAAAACCGGAAAATTGAAAAGTCGGAAATCGAAGAATTAAAAACGTAAAATCGAGAATTCAAAAATCAAAAAAATCGGAAAGTAAAACATAATCGAAAAATGCAAAAAAATTGCAAAGTCTAAAAACTGACGAACAGAAAAATCAAAAAATCTAAAAATGGAAAGACGAAAAATCGAAAATTGAAAGAATGGCAAATTAAAAAATCAAAACACCGAAAAATCAAAAAAACGAAAAATTAAAAAATCGAAAAACAAAAAAACTGAAAACTCGAAAAATCAAAATACCGCAAATTTAAAAAACCAGAAAATTAGAAAGTAATAAAATCGAAAAGTTGATAGAAAAATGGAAACTGAAAAATCTAATTCGATGAAACTGTTGGTCGAAAAAACGAAAAATCGAAAATCGAAGTGACCTTTTTTTGAGACAGGCTGTATAAGTAAATCTAAAAAATATCACTGCAATGATAAATCACAGGTATAGAAATGTAGTACACTTCAAAAACCGTCCGTGACTTAATTTAATGTGAATTTTATAACTATGGTCGGCACAATTAGACCTAATATTAGTGTGATTTTGAGCATATTCTCGATGTTATTACAGCAGGACAGGTTTTTTTTTCTAACTAATTGACAAGATTTCAAAGTATTCAGTTTTGCAATTCTTGATTTCTTCAATAAAATAAATTGACTCAGTCATTTTTTTTTTGAGTCACCCTGTATAAACAAATCCAAAAAATATTAATGGAATGGTAAATCACAAGTATAGACTCATCATATTCTGAACATTTTAGATAGGGTATTTATAAAATTAAAACTAATTCAGAGTATTTATAAAATTAAAACTAATTCAGGGTAAGAATTTGGTCAACACGTAAATTTCGTTGTAGTTTGAGCCTACCTACAAATTCTGCCCTTGGACGATTTGGACCGCCTCCTTCGGTGACGACCGGTAAAAATGATCTGCCCATAGGCTCAAAACATTTGCGTGCGATTGTACAAACTCATCGTATTTTTTGCATTTTAGATAGGATTTATTCAGCAAAATTTAAGGGTGACGTCATCAATTTTTTTAGGAGGGATAAACAAATATATTTTGAACAAATGGGAGACCTATTTCTTCGTCTTCTAGGGGTCATGAAAGATCGAGAAAACGTAAAAGTAGAGAGAAACAACACGTTTTCCACAAAAATATCTTTATTTAAAATAAAATACATAAAGTACGTAAAATCAGGCTTTCAGACTAACTTTCTCTTCGTCGACGACGTTGCCGTTGCACTCTTCCACTTCTCCTTTTAGCTTCTTCTGGATATCCTCCAGTGTCTTCCCTTTCGTTTCAGGCACGAAGAAATAAATAAAAATCAAGCCGAGGATCGAACATACGAAGAAGCCGTAGAACGAAACATGTAACCCATACTCGACTTTCGTTATCTGTAAGTACTTGGAGGCTGCCGTGGCCATTACACTAAAGTATACATCAGCCAAACATAAAGCGAACGCTTTAACATTAGTCGGGAACAACTCCCCTAACATACAAATCGGAATCGACTGCATCCCTAAACTAAAAATCGTTACAAAGGCAATAAGGCCGATCACAGCAACTATCGAGAACGAACTAGTATCAATCGACGTTTCGTTCAAGATATAGAAGTAAGTACCTTCGACGAAAAGAGCCAACGCCGACCCTGCCATCGAAATCAAAAGAAGAGGCCTCCGTCCGGCCCTGTCCACTATCCCCGAAGACACTATAGTGAGTACCAGCTGGACGGAATAGTAAATCATCACAGCGTAATGAGCCGAAATGTGATCCCCAGCAGCCCCAAAAATCTCATGCGTATAAAAAGCTATAGCGGTAGTACCGGCGAGCTGCTGGAACCCGCGCAGACCACCAATAATAAACACAGCCTTCCTGTTGCTCTTCACCGTAAACAAATCCAAAAACCTCCCGTTCTTCGTCTTCTGTTCCGCCTGAATGGCCCCTTTAATCCTATTCAGGTCATCATCCACCTTCGTCGTGCTTTTCAGTCTTTCGAGAGCCCTCCGCGCCGCCTCTGGCTTATCCCGCATGAGCAAATAGTACGGGCTTTCGGGCATCCAGAGGAACGTGACGAAGAGCGCTGCAGGTACTACGGACGATACCAAGGCAGTGGTTTTAATACTGAGGTACGACCCTATCACATTGATTATGAGGAAGCCGGCGATCCACATGACGGAACAACTGGAGCCTAACAGTCCTCTGACTTTGGCGTCGGCGATCTCCCCGATGTACATGGGTACGACCGTGAAGGTGAACCCGTCGGCGACGCCGGCGACGAAGCGGGCGATGTACAGGACGAGGATGGAGTTGGCGAAGGCGACCATGATCCAGGCGAGGAAGAAAGGCATGGCGGTGGCGAGGATGGTGCGTTTGCGGCCGAGGTAGTCCACGATGGTGGCGGCGGTGAGGGAGCCGGCGACGGCGCCGATGAGCGGCATGACGGCCAGGGTGGAGCCCTGGCTCTCGTCGATGCAGAGGGTGCAGGTGGAGTTGTTTTTGAGCTGGGGCACGCTGGGGGAGGACCAGCCGTAGTGCATGCCATCGGTGACGATGGCGAGAGTGCCTGCAAGAAAATGAGGGTACGATAGTAGTACTGTTTGGTTCACCTTCGTTCGTAGAAATCCCACATAAAAATTTACGTAAGTGTTACGAACTTATTGATTAACACGTTCTCAAGGTTGTATTGTAATAACAATGATATAAAAATGGGATTTCTTGTTGGTACAGCTTTACATTTTTTCCTTTAATTATTTTGTTTACTTGTTAGAAATTCACACTATTAACTGATTATGGCTGATTAATCGTTTAATAGTTGCTATTTTATCAAGTCTTATCAATTGTCGGGTACTTTTTGCTCGCTATATTAGCTTGTCGGTGTTTTTGAGCTCAAAACACACGAAATTAGAATATTAAATTCAGGATATCCCGTTGTTTTGCAATTTTTCCAATTTTTCGATGTTACAATTTTTTTTTGATTTTTCAATTTTTCAGTTCAAGTTCTTTTTCGTTTATTTTTCAAACTCTCATTCTTTGATTCTTCAATTCCCCGATTTTCCAATTTTAAATTTTTCAATTTTGCAATTTTTAGAATTCCGATTTTCCAATCTCTTTAATTTTGAATATTTCTATTGTGGAATACACATAGATTGTTCAATTTTTACAAGTTTTCCATTTTTTTATTCCAAAATTCGAAGAACTGAAGAAGCCAAAAATTGAAACATTAAAAAACAAAATCCTGAAACTTGAAAATCGAAAAAGTTAATGAATCGAAGAATGATGCAATCGTCAAAATTCTAAAATCGAAAAAATTTTTCAATTTTGTAGTACATATTTGGATTTCTCAATTGTCTGATTTTCCGATTTCTTTAATTTTCCCATTTTTTGCTTTTTCAAAGGTTTCATTTTATACTTTTTTGTTTTTCATTTTTAATTTTTCAATTCTACAATTTTGCAATTTTTACATTTAGAAAGTTTAGAAATTTAAAAACTAAAAAATACGAAAAAATTGAAAAATCGAAAAATGGAGAAACTACTAACTCGAAAATCGAAGAATTGGAAAACCTAAAAATTGTAAAATCGAAAAGTTATAGAATCGTCAAAATTCTAAAATCGAAAAACTGCAACATCAAAAGATCAAAAAATTGAAAAATTAAAAATCGAAAAATTGATAATTGAATCGAATAAACGAAAAAGAAGGATGTAAAACTGAAAAATCAAAAAATCAAAATTTGAGAAGTAACATAACTGAAAAATTGAAAAATCGACAAATCCAAAAAAAAACAAATTGGAAATTCGATTATCGAAAAATCGAAAATTCGATGAATGAAATATTCAAAAACACATCTGAGAAATCGGAAAACCGAATTTTCGAAAATTTAAAATTTGGAAAACGAAAAATTGAAAAGTCCAAAATTGGGAAAAATCGAATTTTCAAAAAACGCAAAGTTGAACTGAAAATCGAAAAAGTAAAAAATTAGAAAAATTGCAAATCGAAGAACCGAAAAAACGAAAAATTGAAAAATTAAAAATTTTAAAATTTTTCCACTTTTCGTTTCTTCAGTTTTTTGGATTTTTCAGTTTCTCAATTTTGAATTTTTCGTTTATTCATCTTTTTCAAATTTTCATTCTGAAATTCTTCAATTCCTCGATTTTCCAATCGTAAAATTTTCCAATTTCCAATTATCCGATTTACGGATTTCTTTAATTTTCAATACATATTTCTATTTCTATTTCGTTTTCTCGATTTTACACTATACGATTTTTAAGTTTTCTTTAGATTTGGGAATGTTTTCCTTTTATACTTTTCATTTTTCCAATTTATGATTTTTCAATTTTACAATTGTTTCCATTTTTTTGATTCGATAAGTCGAAAAACTAAAAATCGGAAGAAATTGAAAAATTTAAAAAATAAATATTGAGAAATTGAAAAATTAAAAATCGAAAAATTAATATTTGAAAAAGTTAAAAATCGATAAATATACGAAAAAGTTTTAAAATTCATTAATTGAAAAATGGAAAAATTCTAAAATCGTAAAATTGAAAAAGTGAAATTTTTTTAAAATCATACGTATTGTTACATCTTTTAAATGAAAACTAGAAAAATTTCAAATCAAAAACAGAAAAATCGGGGAACTGCAAATCCAAAATTTGGAAAATCAAAAAATCGAAAAGGAAAACAAACTGAAAATTGATTTCCATCAGTCGTCTAAAAACTCAAAAATGTAGAAATTGAAAAACTGAATAATCAAAAATCGAAAATTAGAAAGACTGAAAATTCGAAAATCGAAAATTCGCGAAATGAAAAAATCGCAAAGTAAAATAGGTAACTGAAAAATGGAAAAATTGAAAAATCCAAAATTTTTAAAAAATCGAAGATTTGAGAAATTGAAAAATCGAAAAGGACACAAATTGAAAATTTGATAATCGAAAAATCAAAAATTCACTGAATCTAGTATTTGAAAACACAAAAATCCGAGAAATAGGAAAACCGAATTTTTGAAAATCTAAAAACTGAAAAACGAAACACCGATAAATAAGAAATTCGAAAATCGAGATTTCGAAAAATGGATGAATTGAAACAGAAAAAACGAAATATAGAAAGTCGAAACATCCAAAATTGAAGAATCGAAAAGTCGAAAAATGGAAAAATTGAAAAATAAATTTTCGAATAACGAAAACTAGAAAATGGGAGAAATCGAAGATTAAAAAAAAATCGAAAAACTAAAAAATTGGAAAAATTGCAAATCCACGAATTGAAAAAACGAAAAATCGAAAAACTAAAAATAGAAACAAAATAATGAATCAAAAAATTGCAAAGAAAAATTCATTTCCAGCTTCATAGAAATCGAAAATTCAAAAAACGGAAGTCCCGAATTGAAAATTTTAGAATTCGAAAGGTAAAAAATTGGAAAGTCTAAAAACTGAAGAATGAGAAAATTGAAAAATCGAAAACTTGAGAAATGAAAAAATCGAAAAATAAAATAACTGAAAAATCAAAAACTGAGAAATCGAAGAATTGAAAAATTGAAAATTCGATAATCAAATATTCGAAAATACAAGAATCCGAGAATATTCGATAATCTAAGCATTGAAAAACGAAAAATTGAAAAGTCCAAAAATGGAAAAAATCGAAATTTCAAAAAAACGCAAAGTTGAAGAACTAAAAATAGAGACTTTAAAATAGAAAAAAATTAATGCATCGAAAACTTGGTTACAAGAAAAAACTTGTCTAATCGAAAAATTGGAAAACTCAAAAATTGTAAAATCGAAAAATTACAGAATCTTCAAAATTGTAAAATCGAAAGATAAAAAAACTGAAAAATGGAAAAATTCTAAAATCGTAAAAATCGATAACTCAAAATTTTTTAAAATCATAATTATTATTTCATATTTAAAACGAAAAATTTTAAATCAAAAACTGAAAAATCAGGAAACTGCAAATCGAAATATTGCAAAATGTTAAAATGAAAACATCCAAAAATTGGAAAATCAAAAAAAAGAAAAGTAAAACAAACTGAAAATTGAAAATTCCTTCATCTCTATACAAATTGAAAATTCGAATATGTATCGAAAATGGAAACTTTGAGAAATGAAAAAATCGGAATGTAAAATAACTGAAAAAAATCGAAAAACTGAAGGATGGAAAAACTGAAAATTCGACGAATTGAAAAATAGAGAAATCGACAAGGACAAATTGAAAAATCCAATAAACGAAAAAGAAGGATGTAAAACTGAAAAATTGAAAAATCAAATTTCGAAAAGTAAAATAACTGAAAAATCAAGTATTCGAAAACAGAAAGCCGAGAAATCGGAAAATTGAATTTTCGAAAACCTAAAAAAAATCCAAAAATTGAAAGAGAAAAAACGAAATATAGAAAGCTGAAACATCGAAACTGAAAAATCGAGAAATCGAAATTGAAAAGATTCGACTATCGAAAATTCGAAAAGTGGGAAAAATCGAACATTTAAAAAATTGGAAAAATTGCAAATCGAAGAACTGAAGAAATGAACAATTGAAACATTGAAAAACTAAAAAACGTGAAACTTGAAAATCGAAAATTTAAAAATGAAGAAATTATAGATCGTCAAAATTTTTCAATTTTTCGTTTCTTCGGTTTTTCGATTCGCACTTTTTTATTTTTCGATTTTTTAGTTTCTCAATTTTTGAATTTTTCGTTTATTCATTTTTTTTTAAATTTTCATTCTGTGTGATTTTTCAATTCCTTGATTTTCAATTTTTAAATGTTTCAATTTCCAGTTATGCAATTTTCCGATTTCTTTAATTTTCAATATTTCGTTTTCTTCAATTTTTAAGTTTTTATAGATTTTTCAAAGTTTTCATTTCATACTTTTTCGCTTTTTCAATTTTACAATTTTGCAATTTTTCTATTTTTTGATTCGGAAAATCGAAAAACTAAAAAATCAGAAAATTGCAAAATCGAAAAGTAGAAAATCGAAGAATGAAGAAACGAAAAATTGAAAACTGAAAAATAAAAACTCGAAAAACCTGAAAATTGAAAAATTTGAAAGAAGAAAAAACGAATCGAATTGAATACCCAAAAATTGTAAAATCGAAAAATTATAAAAACGTTAAAATCGAAACTTCGATGAATCAAATATTCAAAAACACAAAAATCCGAGAAATCTGAAAACCGAATTTTCGAAAATCTAAAAATTGAAAAACGAAAAACTGAAAAATGAAAAATTAGAAAATCGAGATTTCCAAAAATCCAAGAATCGGAACAGAAAAGATGAAATATAGAAAGTCGAAACATGGAAAATTCCAAACTGAAAAATCGAAAAGTCGAAAAATGAAAAACTGAAAAATCGATAAATCGAAATTGAAAAGATTCGAATATCGAAAATTCGAAAATTGGGAAAAAAGAAAATTCAGAAGAACGAAAGATTGAATTAAAGAACTGAAGAAACGAAAAATTGAACATTGAAAAACTAAAAATGGAGAAAATTTAATGAATCGAAAAATTGGATACAAGAAAAAACGAATCTAATCCAAAAATTGTAACATCGAAAAATTATGGAATCGTTAAAATTGTAAAATCGAAACACTGCAACACCGAAAGATCAAAAATTTGAAAATTTGAATAAACGAAAAATGTTTTAAAATGCAATATTTGAAAAATTGAAAAATTCTAAAATCCTAAAATTGAAAAGGTGAAAACGTTTTAAAATCATAATTACTACATGCTTATTTAAAATGGAAACTAGAACAATTTCAAATCAAAAACCGAAAAATCGAGAAACTGAAAATCGAAAAATGGCAAAATCAAAAAATTAAAACATCCAAAATTTGGAAAAGCAAAATATTGAAAAGTAAAACAAACTGAAAATTGAAAATCCATTTCCACCTCCATACATTGAAAAATCGAACTGAATGGTGTAATTGAAAATCTGAGAAATCGAGAAGTAAAAAAATTGAAAAGTCTAAAAACTGAACAATGTAAAAATTGAAAAATCGAAAAGTAGGAAGATTGAAAATTCGATAATCGAAAATTCGAAAACCGAAAAATTAAAAATTCGAAAATCGAGATTTCGAAAAAAGCAAGAATCCAAGCTAAGCCAAAAAAAGAAAAATTGATAATTCGCAAAACCAAAAAATTTAAGAAACGAAAAACTGAAAAAATTGAAATAAAAAAACAAAAAAATCATACAATCGAAACATTGAAAAAGTCAAGTCAAAAAAGCCGCGAGGGTGTTATTTACGCTACGGGTTTTTACTTTATAGAGGTTTTCAGAAAACAAAAAACCCAAGGTAAGTTCTCTCGAAATAGCCGTCGACAGAATTTGTAATTTCAGAACTAAAATTAGTAAAAATTTCACTACAACGAAATAATGCGGCTTTGATTACACTTAAAAAAAATACATTTAATTTCGGATGGATTAATGTGAATAACTACACGCAGATAAATATAGAACATTTGTAAAAGCTTAAAATCTTGGGCTACTTAAGACAAAAAACTTATATAGATAAACAAAATCTATTTCTTGGTAATATATTGATTTAATAATTAAATGAAATACGATATAAAAAAAAAGTCTTTTTCTACATATTACTCAACTTATTGTTAAACTGGGCTGTTACCGCATAGCGACAACTTAAAAAAATATGTACGAATGGAGCCTGGATCAAACACCGAAAAACTGTATAGACTCTTAATTTTCATAATTAGAGCAAATTGCTGGTAATTAATTTTATTATTCTAAAAAAAGAAAAAAACATCCAACCCATCTATCTCTAGATTAACAGATCCTCGCTATTACACGCACAATACACCACAAATTAGCTCTCTCACAAATAGTATTAATTTTTATTACCCGACCCTTATCAATTAAGCGTTTAATAACACCATAAACCGTCGAATTAACATTCTTCCAACACAGCCTAATTTAAATGCGACCCTTCTATTCATCGTCATCAGACTTCCCTGAACCCGGCATTGTTCGTTCACCTATTTAAAGCTCCAAGTCAAGCACCTTACGCGATCGTCATTTTTGGTCGCGCGACGAAACCGGTCGATAAACAAAAAATTAAATCAATACCCACCTGTCACTGCGGCTACGTACTGCAGCACGGGACTACCTTTCGTCTCTGACGTCATCGTAACTCTTTGCTGATCCTCTACGCTGTGCGAACCGGCGGAGACTGAGACACTGGAAAAACAATCGACCATTGAGAGCTCGGTCCGCGCCAAGGTCACGTGATGGAGGATTCGCACAGTTCCGGAAAAATATTGCTTTGATATTATGACGTTATTAATGAGCTAATAAAAGATGGGTTATTTCCACGATTGCGTTAAGTGATACTAATGAGAAAAGTAAATAGGGCTTTGTGCTAGCACGCTCCTGCAGTTTGCATGGCCTTGATATTGATTCTTCAGCGGTGCTGAAAATGTGGGGATTAATGAACTTGGTACCCTTGGACTAGTTGCTAGAATGCAGTTTACACTGTCGCAATGGTAAATTAACGATGTTTGTTGTTCAGTGGATGGTTTTTGTATGGTTTGCTGACAGTGTGACTCATTAAAATGCGAAGGAAATGAGCTAATGCATTGATAACGATGTATTATCAATTGGCAAATTTGCGGTCAGTGATATGCGTTGTCATTAAGGACGTTTTAGGGTTTCTTTGTTTTGTTTCAAGGATTTTCGCCACTTGTTGCACATTGATTGGATTACCAAACTGTTTCCTAGTTCAGTAATTTTGTTGCAAAAATTTTATCTGAAAGGTCAACGGACTTCATTGTTGAGTTTTGCCTATGAAATTTTGCTTCAGTTTCATTTGGGTTTCAAGTTAAAGTAATCAAGTTCAAGGATTAAAGTCATTAAAAATTAAACCGAAAAATATTTTGCACATTTTTGCGCTATCGTCGACCGACAAACAATAATCCAATAAATAAATTATGTTTGCACAGTTTTTAATGATACTGTAAAGGTCAAGCTAATAACCATTATGTAACAAGACCACCTGCTGATTTTAATAAAGCCTGTACAAACCCAGACAGATTTTTTTTTAATCACGATTTTCGAGCGAAATTCATTAACCTCACTTATCTGACGTATGTTATCAGTTTGCGTGGACTAGTTTCACTAAGGTTAATTTCGCTTTAAGCTTAACTGATATAAAAGTAGTTTGGACTTGTTTTGAGGACTCGCCAAATCCAGAGATTAAGGGGACTCGCTAGACGAGGTATAATATTTTTTTACTTTTTTGTATGAAAAAATGACATTAATATAGATGTATCATACATCAAACTGCAGCTTTTTTAATTTTTTTTATTTTTCAGTTTCCAATTTTTGACGTTTATAAATTTTTCGATTAACTGATTTTTTGATTTTGCCATTTCGCTATTTCTCGATTTTTCAATTCTTTCTTCAATTGTGATTTTTCAATTTTTCCATTTCTGAATTTTTCAATGTTTCAGTTTTCGATTTTTTCACTTTTCCGATTCTTCATTTTTCAGTTTTTCAAGATTTTAGTTTTTAATTTTTTCACTTTTTCGATTTTTCAATTTTCCTTCCATTTTTCAGTTTTTCAGTATTTCAGTTCTGGGATTTTGCAATGTTTCGGTTCTTCAATTTTTCCATCTTTTGATGTTTCGATTTCTCGGTTTTTCAATTTTTCGATAGGTATTTTAATTTTTCAATTTTAAAGTTCTACATTTTCCGTTAATTTTTTTGTTTTCCTTGATATTTTGATTTCTCGATTATCCGATTTTTCAAGTTCTAGGTTTACATTTTTTGGTTTTCCAATTTTTGGATTTTTAAATTGTTTAATTTTTAGATTTTCAATTTCTCGACTTTTAGATTTTTCAATTTTTCGGTTTACCGATTTTTTTTCATTTAAAATGTTTCAATTTTTCAATTATTAACTTTTCGATTTTTCAATTTTGGTCTAATTTGATTTCTTAATGTTTTGATTTTTTGACTCCTCTACTGTTGATGTTTTGATTTCTCGATGTTTCTCTTTTTGAACATTCCGATGTTTCGACTTTTTTGCTTTTCGAGTGTTCGATTTTTTGATTTTTGAATTTTAGATTTTTGTTTTTTTGATTTTTTGGTGTTTCGATTTCCCAATTCTTCAATTTATCGATATTTTAATTTTTCAATTTTTCGAATTTTTAAATTTTGGATTTTTCTTTTCTTTTATTTCTCAATTTTCCGATGTTTCAGTTTTACGATTTTTAATTTTTTTTATTTTTCAGTTTCCAATTTTTGACGTTTATAAATTTTTCGATTAACTGATTTTTTGATTTTGCCATTTCTCTATTTCGCGATTTTTCAATTCTGTCTTCAATTGTGATTTTTCAATTTTTCCATTTCTGAATTTTTCAATGTTTCAGTTTTCCATTTTTTCACTTTTCCGATTCTTCAATTTTCTTTCCATTTTTCAGTTTTTCAAGATTTTAGCTTTTAATTTTTTTACTTTTTGGATTTTTCAATTTTCCTTCCATTTTTCAGTTTTTCAGTATTTCAGTTCCGGGATTTTGCAATGTTTCGGTTCTTCAATTTTTCCATATTTTGATGTTTCGATTTCTCGGTTTTTCAATGTTTCGATAGGTATTTTAATTTTTCAATCTTTAAGTTCTACATTTTCCGTTAATTTTTTTGTTTTCCTTGATATTTTGATTTCTCGATTATTCGATTTTTCAAGTTCTCGGTTTTCCAATTTTTGGATTTTTAAATTGTTTAATTGTTAGATTGTTCAATTTCTCGACTTTTAGATTTTTCAATTTTTCGGTTTACCGATTTTTTTTCATTTAAAATGTTTCAATTTTTCAATTATTAACTTTTCGATTTTTCAATTTTGGTCTAATTTGATTTCTTAATGTTTTGATTTTTTGACTCCTCTACTGTTGATGTTTTGATTTCTCGATGTTTCTCTTTTTGAACATTCCGATGTTTCGATTTTTCGACTTTTTCGCTTTTCGAGTGTTCAATTTTTTGATTTTTGAATTTTAGATTTTTGTTTTTTTGATTTTTTGGTGTTTCGATTTCCCAATTCTTCAATTTATCGATATTTTAATTTTTCAATTTTTCGAATTTTTAAATTTTGGAGTTTTCTTTTCTTTTATTTCTCAATTTTCCGATGTTTCAGTTTTACGATTTTTATTTTCTTTTATTTTTCAGTTTCCAATTTTTGACGTCTATAAATTTTTCGATTAACTGATTTTTTGATTTTCCGATTTCTCTATTTCTCGATTTTTCAATTCTTTTTTCAATTGTGATTTTTCTATTTTTCCATTTCTGAATTTCTCAATGTTTCAGTTTTCCATTTTTTCACTTTTCCGATTCTTCGATTTTCTTTCCAGTTTTCAGTTTTTCAAGATTTTAGTTTTTAATTTTTTCACTTTTTCGATTTTTCAATTTTCCTTCCATTTTTCAGTTTTTCAGTATTTCAGTTCTGGGATTTTGCAATGTTTCGGTTCTTCAATTTTTCCATTTTTTGATGTTTCGATTTAATAATAATAATAATAATAATGTTTATTAGTGCCTTAATTACAATACATCACTATTGTTTGTGCACATGTCAGTTTACAATTTATAACATTGAATTCAAATTTAAATTAAGTCTAAAATATTTTGTCATTACAAAATTCTTCAACACTGTAAAAAGCTTTGCATGTCAAGTAATGTTTTATTGTCGTTTTAAAATGTGTAAATGGCGAATTTTGTATTGCAACGGGTAACATGTTAAAAAACTTTATTCCAAAATATTCGGTACCTGTACGAGATTTTGTTAATCTCAAATTTTTCAGACACAAGTCTGTATTATGACGCGTGTTATAGGTATGGACATCGCGGTGTGTCTTATAAACGGTTAAATTAGACTTTACATAAATCAAACAATGGAAGATATAAAGCGAGGGTAAAGTCATAATTTTAAAACGTTTGAAGTGGTCCTTACAATCGTCGCGATATTTTAAACCACCTAAAACTCTAACAGCTTTACGCTGTAGACCAAATATTCGGTGTCTTGAGCTCGAGTGACCCCAAATCAATAGACCATATGATAACTGTGCTTGGATAAGGGCAAAATAGGCTACTCTCAAAGTTTCAAGGGGAAGTTGGTTATAGAGGTGTCGTAGTACAAAAATATTTTTACACAATTTATCGGCAACTATTTTCCCATGATCATTCCAAGTTAACTGGCGATCAATGTGCAAACCCAGGAATTTAGTGGACTCTGAGTATTCTTCAGGTATTTCTTCTTTTTTTAGACTGAATAACATATTAATGCATTTGTTTTCGTTAGTTGTTAACTTATTGCTGTGAAACCAACGCGTAGCTCTCGACTGCGCCCTTTCATGGATACAAATTGTCTCAGCAATGTTTTTACCTACTGTTAAAATGGTTGCATCATCGGCAAAAAGAAATGAGCGAGTCTGCAAATATCCCGGAAAGTCATTGATGTAGATTAGAAACAGTAGGGGGCCCAGTACTGAGCCCTGAGGTACACCGTGTGTAATGGGGAGGCTTGCAGAGTTTGCAGACCCGTTTCTTACAATTTGCCAACGCTCTTCCAAAAAAGATGAAATTAACTGACAAGAGGTGGGATGTAAGTTGTACTTACATAGTTTCATTATTAGTATTTCATGCAAAACGCAGTCAAAAGCCTTTGTCAGATCTAAAAACGATGCCATGCCTACTTCACCCTTTTCCAAACACTTAATGACTGTATCAGTTAATGCCAGTATTGCATCAGTAGTGGACTGGCCTTTCCTAAATCCATATTGAACTGGAGAAATTAATTTATTATCTTCCAAAAAGGAATTTAATTGATTGCACAGAATTTTTTCCAATATTTTGGAAAAAACTGGTAGTAATGCTATTGGTCGGTAATTACTAGGTTTACTACTATCACCATTTTTATGGATAGGAATAATGACACCTGTTTTTAAACACTTTGGGAATATAGAATTTCTAATGCATAAGTTAATTAATTTGGTTAATGGCGATATCAGTAAATTTTTTATATATTTAATTATAGTTACATTAAGTCCGAATATGTCAAGTGAGTTACTAGGTTTTAAACTATCTATTACATCTCGAACCAGGATACCAGATATTTCAGAAAAAGTAAAATGAGTCGGCACACTACAATCACTTATCACACTATTATCACAGTCAGACATTAGGTACAATGGGTCATCACAGTTATCAGGCAAATTTTTTACTAGGTTAGAAGCTACAGTACTAAAATATATATTAAAATCATCACAGGATATATCACAGTTACTATTTGTTTTTATTTTATGACTAGATAATTTGTTGGTACTATCTTTGATAATTCGCCACATGACTTTTGTTTTGTTGTTAGCCGTGTCAATAATTTTTTTGTTACTGTGAATTTTTTTAAGCCTAATTTGTTGACGGTAAATCTTCCTATAATTGTTTCTTGCTTTCCTTGTTTCAGAAGAATTTATAATTTTGTCCAAATTATTTAAAAATTTGAGAGTATCTCTCATAGCTTTTAAGTCATTGTCAAACCATTTGGATCTACTTCTTAAATTCATAGTTTTTTCAGGAAAAGCAATAGTCATGCTAGTACATATAATTTCTATAAATTTACTAAATTTAGCGTTAACATCAATTTCCTGACTTTCAATAAATCTCCAGTCACTATTTGAAAGTAAATTAAACAGTATGTTTTTTCCAACTTTTGTTATTGGCCTATGTGTTCTTATTAAGTCAATATTTGGTGAAGTACCTTTTAAAATGGACATTTCCAGTTTTATTCCTGTGTGATCAGATAATGCTAAATCTAATGGACTAGTTTTGCAATAATCAATATTAATATTTGTGAAAATATTATCCAGGCAATTTAACTTTCTTGTGGGAAAATGTACGAGTTTTATTAAATTGTAGCAAGCCATAAAATCACAAACTTGGGTTGATAAATTATTATCACAAAGAAAATTAACGTTAAAATCACCCGCAATTAAGACATTGTTTTTCAACACATTTATGTGATGAAGCAAAAGACTAAGATTGGTGAAAAAGCACTCCAATTCGCCCGATGGTGGTCGATAAATATTAATAAAGAAAATATTACTATCTGTCAGATGTATACCACAGATTTCAATATGATTTTCTATAGAAAATTTCTTACACAATTCAATAGGTATTGACCGTAATCCTTCGTGTTGCAGAACTAAAGATCCTCCATATTGAGAAGCGGTTCTTGCACTTCTTGCAAAATATGATGCCGTTGAGAAGCTTCCTATTTGTAAACATTCAGCCTCTATGTTGTTCAACCAATGTTCCGTTATTCCCAGTAGTGAAAAATTTTTGTCTATAAGAAATGCTTCTAACTCTAAAATTTTTGATTTAATTGACTGAGTATTTATTACTAATATATTTAGCAATTGATACTGTTTACTTAAGTCGATGGTTTTATGTTCTGCCTTAGATGAAAAAACCTATTTAGTCGTGTTCCAGCTGGCCAGATACCCGGGTCCATTACTGATTCCCTATTTTCGTAATCTACAGTAACTTGAAATGATGAGTAGTTTTCAGGGTGCCTAGAATTTAGCTTTTGGACCGTAGCCTCCGGTGCTTGGGGTTTAATGTGATTCATGACTTCCTCCAAACTTGTATCTGGCATCAATCTATAGATATGTATATGGGCCTTTTTAGGAGCAGCTTTCAGAAGACCTGCGGATGAAGTGGAACTGCCTACGATGGGTTGCGGTTTATTTTTCTTTTTTTTTGGTATAATTTCTCGGTTTTTCAATTTTTCGATAGGTATTTTAATTTTTCAATTTTTAAGTTCTACATTTTCCGTTAATTTTTTTGTTTTCCTTGATATTTTGATTTCTCGATTATTCGATTTTTTAAGTTCTCGGTTTTCCAATTTTTGGATTTTTAAATTGTTTAATTTTTAGATTGTTCAATTTCTCGACTTTTAGATTTTTCAATTTTTCGGTTTACCGATTTTTTTTTCATTTAAAATGTTTCAATTTTTCAATTATTAACTTTTCGATTTTTCAATTTTGCTCTAATTTGATTTCTTAATGTTTTGATTTTTTGACTCCTCCACTGTTGATGTTTTGATTTCTGGATGTTTCTCTTTTAGAACATTCGGATGTTTCGATTTTTCGACTTTTTCGCTTTTCGAGTGTTCGATTTTTTGATTTTTGAATTTTAGATTTTTGTTTTTTTGATTTTTTGGTGTTTCGATTTCCCAATTCTTCAATTTTTCGAATTTTTAAATTTTGGATTTTTCTTTTCTTTTATTTCTCAATTTTCCGATGTTTCAGTTTTACGATTTTTAATTTTTTTTATTTTTCAGTTTCCAATTTTTGACGTTTATAAATTTTTCGATTAACTGATTTTTTGATTTTCCCATTTCTCTATTTCTCGATTTTTCAATTCTTTCTTCAATTGTGATTTTTCAATTTTTCCATTTCTGAATTTCTCAATGTTTCAGTTTTACATTTTTTCACTTTTCCGATTCTTCAATTTTCTTTCCATTTTTCAGTTTTTCAAGATTTCAGTTTTTAATTTTTTCACTTTTTCGATTTTTCAATTTTCCTTCCATTTTTCAGTTTTTCAGTATTTCAGTTCTGGGATTTTGCAATGTTTCGGTTCTTCAATTTTTCCATTTTTTGATGTTTCGATTTCTCGGTTTTTCAATTTTTCGATAGGTATTTTAATTTTTCAATTTTTAAGTTCTACATTTTCCGTTAATTTTTTTGTTTTCCTTGATATTTTGATTTCTCGATTATTCGATTTTTCAAGTTCTCGGTTTTCCAATTTTTGGATTTTTAAATTGTTTAATTTTTAGATTGTTCAATTTCTCGACTTTTAGATTTTTCAATTTTTCGGTTTACCGTTTTTTTTTCATTTAAAATGTTTCAATTTTTCAATTATTAACTTTCGATTTTTCAATTTTGGTCTAATTTGATTTCTTAATGTCTTGATTTTTTGACTCCTCTACTGTTGATGTTTTGATTTCTCGATGTTTCTCTTTTTGAACATTCCGATGTTTCGATTTTTCGACTTTTTCGCCTTTCGAGTGTTCAATTTTTTGATTTTTGAATTTTAGATTTTTGTTTTTTTGATTTTTTGGTGTTTCGATTTCCCAATTCTTCAATTTATCGATATTTTAATTTTTCAGTTTTTCGAATTTTTAAATTTTGGATTTTTCTTTTCTTTTATTTCTCAATTTTCCGATGTTTCAGTTTTACGATTTTTAATTTTGTTTATTTTTCAGTTTCCAATTTTTGACGTTTATAAATTTTTCGATTAACTGATTTTTTGATTTTCCCATTTCTCTATTTCTCGATTTTTCAATTCTTTCTTCAATTGCGATTTTTCAATTTTTCCATTTCTGAATTTTTCAATGTTTTTAAATTTTCCATTTTTTCACTTTTCCGATTCTTCAGTTTTCTTTCCATTTTTCAGTTTTTCAAGATTTTAGTTTTTAATTTTTTCACTTTTTCGATTTTTCAATTTTCCTTCCATTTTTCAGTTTTTCAGTATTTCAGTTCTGGGATTTTGCAATGTTTCGGTTCTTCAATTTTTCCATATTTTGATGTTTCGGTTTCTCGGTTTTTCAATTTTTCGATAGGTATTTTAATTTTTCAATTTTTAAGTTCAACATTTTCCGTTAATTTTTTTGTTTTCCTTGATATTTTGATTTCTCGATTATTCGATTTTTCAAGTTCTCGGTTTTCCAATTTTTGGATTTTTAAATTGTTTAATTTTTAGATTGTTCAATTTCTCGACTTTTAGATTTTTCAATTTTTCGGTTTACCGTTTTTTTTCCATTTAAAATGTTTCAATTTTTCAATTATTAACTTTTCGATTTTTCAATTTTGGTCTAATTTGATTTCTTAATGTTTCGATTTTTTGACTCCTCTACTGTTGATGTTTTGATTTCTCGATGTTTCTCTTTTTGAACATTCCGATGTTTCGATTTTTCGACTTTTTCGTTTTTCGAGTGTTCAATTTTTTGATTTTTGAATTTTAGATTTTTGTTTTTTTGATTTTTTGGTGTTTCGATTTCCCAATTCTCAATTTTTCTTTTCTTTTATTTCTCAATTTTTGGATATTTTAAAATTTTACATTTTTCGATTTTACTATTTTTTGATGCTTGGATTTCTCCTTTTTTCAAGTTTTCAAGACTCAATTTTTCAGGATTTGAATATTGAGATTTTTTAATGTTTCGATTTTTGGGTGTTTTGATTTTTCGATTTTTAAAGTTTTTGATTTTTCGATTTTTCCGATTTGTTGTGTATTTTAAGTATATTTCATTTTTCAATTTTTATACTTAGCACGTAGCGTTCTTACTAAGCATTCCTTATTTAACCGAACAGTTATTAATTTAACTAAGCAGCTATTATTTCACCAAGCATATATTATTTTTACTGAGAATTTATTTTTTAACTGAGTATTTATTATATAACTTAGCATTTATCATTTTTACAGAGCAAACATACAGAGCGTTTAAAAATAGAACTGTGCATTTAATTTGTTCCCTTATCTCGAAAATTAATATGTCAAAAGAATACGAGAAATGATTATTCTGAACGGCCCATTTTTTGTCAAGATCCGACCCTGACCTGTCAAATAGTATGAAAATTTACGGCGGCGATTAATCATGCGTAAAAATTCGCACAAACAATCTGATTATGTTAAAATGTTGTATTTTTCCAGCTTCGAGTAATTCGTTTAAAAATGATTTGACAAAAAATTTCTGACAATAATGAACTGGAAATTAAGACAGTGTTGAAGACAAAGAAGCAGCAAAACTTGTGAATGTAGTAAATAAAATAAAAAGCGGTTATTTTTAGAAGTCCGGCCCTGACCTGCCAATCTTCGCGAAAATTGAACCCTGCGGGATATCACACGTGTGAAAAATAACCTCACGCACACGCAATTTAAGTCGTAAAAATTTTCCATGTGCACATTTCAAATTAACGTTCGATCAATAACGTCCAGACAGAGCGGCATCACAATCAAACCACTGATAAATAATTTATCGTAGAAAATCCCTCACAAATTCTCACTCACCTCCGACAATTCGTGGTAAAAAATCTCGACAAACAAAGAACTTTCCGAAACTAACCACTTTCAACCAGTTTCAGCAAGCGCTGTCCAACATCTGACTGAAACCTTCCTGTTTCTTCGAAGCGAATTACCCACAGATCATTACCATGGAATTATTTATCACTGCGTTGCCGTTCTGGGCCGAGCACCCATCGACAAAGCATTGACAGGTCAGGCCGGCAAAAATGGAAATTAGCGACTTACGAGTTCGAAAAACTGGGTTTATTACACTACACGTGTTTTCCTGACGAGCGCGTTGTGCAGCGTAGGTCAAAAGTTTGTTTATTTTTGTTCGAAGTGTAAAGTCTGCTATTTTTAATCCTGGCGAATTTCTTTGTGTGGTAGAAAAACGTGGCACAGCGACACGCCGTGGAAAAGTACCGAGGAACAACAATCGATTAAACCAACAAGTAAAATTTTGATGGTATGGCGAAGTTTGGCGAAAAAAAAAGCACGACTACGTGGTATCAAACTTTAATACTTTCAAAAATTCTCGGACTCTTTCACAGAAAGAGCCCCCTTAATCTACAATCTGAAGTATAAAACACAAAGACAGCACACAATAATAATTCTAACTAAAAATACATCAGTCTTATATTTTATCACACATCTACTCTCTCACTCCTTTCATCTTTCCCATCCTTCCCGACTTTCCCCCCCAGGAACACCTGAATCTCCTCCAAACTCTTCCCTTTCGTCTCAGGAACAAACAAAACAATAAAAACTAGCCCCAACAAACAACTCCCCGTGAAAGCGTAAAACGGCACGTAAATCCCAAACGAATCTTTGACAATTTGGAAAAATTTCGACACTACAGTTGCTATAACACAAAAATATATATCAGCTAGACACAAAGCGAAAGCTTTAACATTGGCCGGAAACAACTCCCCTAGCATCAAAATAGGAATCGATTGCATCCCGGAACTGAAGAACACGACAAAACCAATCAAGGAGATGACAGAAAGGAAGGAGAAGGGAGCAACGTCGATGGTAGTTTGGGTCTTGATGAAGAAATAGGTACCTTCGACGAAAAGCGCTAAAGCCGAACCCAACAACGAAAGGATAAGCAAAGGTCGCCGTCCAGCCTTATCCACAATACTGTTACATAGAATGTTGAGAAGAAACTGGACCGTGTAGTAGATAATAGTGGCAAGCTCGGACGAGATATCTTCGCCTGCTTCTTTGAAGATGCTTTGGGTGTAGAAGGTGATGGCGGTGGCACCACTGAATTGTTGAGCGCCTCTGAGTACCATGATTATGTACACAGCTTTTCGGTTGCTCTTCGTGGTGAACAAATCTAGGAATTTTCCGGTGTTTTGCGTCTGCGCGATGACCGCTTTGCTGACTCGACTCAGCTCATTGTCGACGTCGTCTCGTCCACGAAGAACCTGCAGGCTCTTCTTCGCTTCCTCGAACTCCCCTTTCATGACGTGGTGGTAGGGACTCTCGGGCATCCAGATGAACGTTAGTAGTGCTAGGATGGGTACTACCGAAGACACTAAAGCAGTGGTGGTGATGCTCAAGTAGGAGCCCACGACGTTGATTAGGAGAATACCGAAAATCCAGGACGTGGAGACCCCAGAGCCTAAAAGACCTCTGATTTTGGGGTCGGCGATCTCGCCGATGTACATGGGGACGACGGTGAAGGCTAACCCGTCGGCTACTCCAGCGATGAATCGCGCGACGTAGAGGACGGGAAGGGAGTGGCTGAAGGCGATCATGATCCAGGCGGCGAAAAAGGGCAAGCAGGTGGCGATGATGGTGCGCTTGCGACCCAGGATGTCGACGATGGAGGCCGCCAATAGGGCCCCGATTAGGGCCACGATGAGGGGCATGACGGCAATCCAGGACCCTTCGTCGGGACTAATGCTGAAGGTGGAGTTCTCCAGACGCTCGAGAATCGGGAGAGACGGGGAGGGCCAGCCGTAGTGCATGCCGCTGGTGATGATGGTCAAGGTCCCTACGAAACAATCAATAGTATAGACATTGTTTAAGTATATTATAGTTGGACAACCTAATACAAATTTTTCGTCAACGCGCATTTTCACTACAGTGAGCCAACGTATTAGGTTTATTTTACTCTAAATCAGATGGCGCCATCAAACATTAGCAAAGGCAAACACCCTTCACTCTGCTCTTATACGAGGAGTTATCCATAAATCCATAATTAACATTGTTCCGTAAACAGTAATGTGTATATAAACATATATGTACAAAATATGAAAATATACTTGACATAAAAAATATGAACCAACGCGTTGTAACGTGATAAGAAAGAATTGAATTTAAATGAATTTGACGCATATTTTTATTTGACTATATCTGAAGACTGACAGAAACTTGGGGGTTTTTAAACTGGTATAATTGTTTAGTTTTACAAGATTAAAGTAAAATAATTAAATAAATTAAAATTTTTCGTAAACCGCATTTTAAAATTTTGGTATTGTATTTTTTACTTTTTAATTTTCTAAGGGATGAAAAAATCCCATATAGGTTTCTATGAATTTATTAACGAAATCAACTGATAACTTGCGCGCCATTTTGTGTTAATTAACACCAATAGTGATTATGATAATTTTATAATTATCATTTTAATGAAATTGTGTTCTTCACTTCGCGAACGACAGCAAACAATTTAAAATTACCGCTAGTCAAGCACCTGAAAATCCATCTCTCCCAAATATGTCTTTCTTGGCACGATTTGTAATCCGAAGTCTCCCTCCACATGCAATTTTTCGTCGCCTGAGAACTTGTTTGATCTACAGACCAAAGCACACTCAGGCCAATAAAACTAACCCATTTCGACCATTGGACTTTACAACGAATAAGTGAACAAAGTTCTTGAACATCTTAACGATTTAATACATAATGATCCCGAATGACAAAATTTACATTTCAAATTGTATTATCAAATTACACTCTCCAAAATTTGTCACGAACAATGAAATGACGCAATCTCCAAATTTTACAATAGTAAAATTGTAGTTTCGCCCCGTTTACGGTTTATGCATCCGTGTCGAGTTTTCACCTTAGACGTCAAGATTTTTGGAAAAAAAATCAACATTTTCCAATTTATAATGTTATGTATTTAAATTTTAAAAAGTAGAATAGTCCTGATCTTGTGATTTATACCTAAATACGCTATTGGGATTTTTCGGCTTGTCGATTTCTCGATTTTTCAACTTTAAATGTCTCAATTTTTCAATATTTCAATTTTGGGCTTTTCCGATTCCTCCATTCCTTAAATTTTCTATTTCTCGATTTTTTCATTTTTAGATTTCTCAATCTTACGATTTCTCAATTTTTGTTCAATTTTCCAATGTTTTAATTTCTCAATTTTTTGGATATTTCTTTCAGTTATGAGATTTTTCAATATTTCAATTTTTCGACTTTTCGATTTTTGAATTGATGGATTTTTTTTTATTTCTCGCTTTTTTCCTTTTTGGATTTTCAATTTATTGTAAACTTTAGGTTTTTCAATTCTGGGACTGTTTAATGCTTCGATTTCCCAATTTTTAAACTTTTCGATGTTTTAATATTTCATTTTTTAAAATTCTAGGTTTTTCGATATCTCGAGTTTTCAGTTCAGTTCTTTCAATTTTTCAATTTTTCGATTATTCAATTTTTTAATTTCTCAATTTGTCGAATTCAGATGTTTCGTTGTTTTGATTGTTCAATTTCTCAATTTTTCAATTTTTAACTTTCTTTTTCGGCTTCCGACTCCTCAATTTTTCGATCCTCCGATTTTTCGATTTCTCGAAGTTTCAGTTTTTGAATTCTTCGATGTTTCGATTTTTGGATTTCTCGGTTTTTCGATTTTTTCTTTTGAGCTTTTCAATTTCTGGATTTTCCAATTTTTCAATGCCCCGATTTTTCAATTTTTCAAATTGATTTGGATCTCTCGATTCTTCAATTTTGCGATATTTTAATTATTCATTGTTTTAAATTTTAGTTTTTTCGATTTCTCGATTTTTTGACTTTTCAGTTCTTCAGTATTTAAATTTTTGAATTTTTCAAATTTTTGCGTTAAATTTTCAGTTTTCTGATTTCTCAATTAATCTATTTTTGATTTTCCCACTTCTCAAAGTTTCGATTTTTCAGTTCTTCAATTCTTCGATTTTTCGACTTCGCTTTATTGGTTTGTCGATTTCTCAATTTTTGGATATTTCTTTCAGTTTTGATATTTTTCAATACTTCGATTCTTTCATTTTTCGACTTCTAGATTTTTCTATTTTTTATTTTTGGATTTTCAGTTTTTTGTTTTTTATTTCAATTTCTCAATTTTTCAACTTTTTCATATTTTAATTTTTAAATTTCTAGATTTTTCAGTTTCTCGAGTTTCCAGTTCTGTATTTTAATTTTTTAAACTTACGAATGTTTAAATTTTTTGAAATCTCAATTCATATAGATTCGGATGTTTCGATGTTTTGATTATTCAATCTCTCGCTTTATCAATTTTTCCATATTTAAGTTTTCGATTTTTCGATTTTGGCCTACTTCGGTTTCTCAATTTTTTGATTTTTCGACTTCTCGATTTTTCGACACCTCGATTTTTTTTGCCTTTTGATTTTTCGATTTCTCGATGTCTCAATTTTTGAATTTTACAATGTTTCGATTTTTTGATTTGTTGGTTTTTAGATTTTTTGCTTTTCGGTTTCTCGATTTTTCGATGTTTCGATTTTTGATTTATCCGATTTTTCAATTGTCCAATTTTTTAAATTCTCGACTTCTCGATTCGTTGATTTTTCAGTTTTTCGATTATTAAATTTTAGATTTTTATTTTTTTTTTTGATGTTTGGATTTCTCAATTTTTCAGTTTTAGGATATTTTAACTTTTCAATGTTCTAAATTTTCGATTTTTCGATTTTTTAGTTCTTCAATATTTTTTTATTTTTCAAATTTTGACGTTTCTGAATTGTTAGTTTTCGGATTTCTCAATTAATCTATTTTTTTATATTCCCATTTCTCCACTTCCTAAAGTTTCGATTTTTCAGTTCTTCAGTTCTTCAATTTTTCGATTATTCAGGTTTTTGATTTTTCAGTTTTTCGATTTTTTAAGTTTGCGATTTTTAGACTCTGCTTTTTTGACTTTTTTGTTTCTCAATTTTTTAATTTCCTAATTTTTTGATGTTTCGTTCAATTTTGTGATTTTTCAGTTTTTTGATTTCTCAATTTTAACTTTTCAATTTTTGAAATTATTAATTTTTTTCGATTTTTTGAGTTTTCAGTTCTCTATATTTCAATTTTTCAATTTTCGGAATTTTTAAATTTTCGATTTTCCAATTTTTCGATGTTTCGATTTTTGAATTAACCGATTGTTCAATTTCTCGATTTTTAAATTTTAGATTTTCCAATTTTTATTTTTTTGATTTTTTTATGTTTCGATTTCTCGATTTTACAATTTTCCCATATTTGAATTTTTCAGTGTTTTAAATTTTCGATTTCGAGGATTTACTGTGTTACAGTAGTCAGTCATTACTCATCAAGAACGATTATTGCTGTGCGTTAAAATGCCTACATACTGATAAGCACGTATATACAAGACACATTTAAGGCTGTTTTAGTATAATTTTTGCAATTTTAAATTTATTTCTTGATGTCTAAATCGTATATATTTAAATGGTGATGAATATTTTGTGATACAATCTTAGGATAAAATGCATTTTAGTTTCAAAAATAATATGTATTTAATGATTTGACTTCTGTTAATAAAAAAAAATACGTATATAGGTATGCACTACATATACATATATTACAGTAAAATCTTCAACACGTACGTTTGCGTAATTTGTGACTGTTCCCCGTACAACGTACTGATTAATACGTCCGTTTACTACCTTATCGACATCACGTGCTTACGGACTATTTTACCCCCTTTCGTAAGGTACCGCCACTTCATAGTGAAGCGAGTGAGATGTAAAATATATATTCATTCTTTTCTACATGGGAAAGTGATTGTCCGTAAAGGTTTTCCAACTATAATATATTTAAACAATGGTATAGACAACCATTTATACACCAGACAGTGATAACAAATACCCATTATTCACTTTCACGCTTGCGTTTAATTGATAACGAATGCCATCAATTTGGGTCACAAAAACCTTAATTTGTTTGACCCATTTTCGGAATTGGAACACCATTTTAGTTCCACTTGTGGAGAAAAAAAGTCACTTGAAACAATTTGTTGGGTTCAACGGTACCAACAGCCCGAGAAGAACCACTAATTTAGTTTAATTTTATCATTAAAAAGCGGGAAGGTCGCTGGGTGTGTTATCATTGATCAAGGTCGATTCAGTAGACGCTCTGGCGCCGCGTTTATACGAGGCGGATTTACAAATTTCTCGCGACAAAATCGTCATAAAGAGCGCCAATTTGGACGTTCTGCGTGCTAAAGCATCCGAAATTAGTCCCCGAAGGTTCACCATTAGTCTAAATCCATGACAGCGTCCAAAGTTTAATAATAGCTCCAACAGCTCCCATAAGTCAAATTTTTCACGCTTCAAGATAAACACTCAGAGTCTTTATTTAAAATTAGTTATTTACCCCCCAAAAATAGCCTTCTGTGCGCGTTTGCGGCGAAAATCACTTTTACTTGCCAAAATGTTTATTCTGCCAATCATCAAGCTAAAAATATCGCGGAAAGTCCAAGAACTCACCAGTAATAGCAGCGACATACTGGTAGAAGTAATTGTCTTCCGGGACCTTGGTGTTCAAACTAGACAAACTAGTGATTTTCATTTTGATTTTTTGCACTATAACCGTTCAGCAGCTTCCATTCACTTCACTGTTTTGGTTTTTTCGAATTAAAAAATGACATGGGAACTCTCGTCGAGAGGGTTCGCGAATGAACTAAACCTGGCAGAGTCTGCCTTAAATAGCTAGTGGCAGGAAAAACACCGCGCTCAGCTGATCCGGCTCAGAAAGCCGATTCTTGTGGCGCAGAAATCGCGAGCAGATGCTACATTAATCAATGGTAATAATAACAATTGGAAATTCGCGAATCGTCGCCTTGGTACAGTTTTTTCTTATTAATCAGGGACCGACTTTGACCTAAAAGTTTTTTTCGACTTGGAGGAGTTGTAAATTTCGGATTAGTAGCGGCCAATAATGTGTCCGGTTTAAAGAGTGATGATGGGTTTAGAGCGGCTGGAGGAATATTTTTGGGTGTTTGGAAGAGGCGAGAGCGAGTTTGTTGATTGTTCGAGATGATAATGTAATAAAATTGGATTTGAAGTGTAAACATTTATAGGTTTGGTCAATTTTTATGGACGATCCAGTTTTTGCGTTCTAAATTTCCACATTTAACTGTTTTTTGTAAACGGGACAGTAAACAGAATTAGTACGTCGTGCGAGGGGAAAAAATGAAAATAAGCTACTAGAACCAAAGAGAAACCAAGTAAAGATAAATAGTTCATTTTCAAAACTCATAAATACACACTTTTACAAATATAATGTTAATAAAACACTCTGACAGATATAAGCCAAATTATTGATCATGTGTAGCAGCTGGCTTCTATAATTTCTTTTGCAAATAATAAAAATTGTATTAGACAATCTAAATTCTTTCAAAACAATTTTGACACTACATCTTATAAATTAAAAAATTTTTAAGTAATTATTTTGAAAAATTTGAACTGCCGTAATTTCCGCGCCGCTTCAAGGAATCCCATAAGGAAGTTTATTTACAAAACCCCACCTGGTAATTAAGTTTTGGAAAACACTTCGCGGAAGTTTTGCGAAAATAGCAACAGGAACAGTTCCACCGAAAATAAATCCCCGAAAATTAATTAACTCTCAATACCAAAATTTGGCAGCTTTTGCGTTGCATCACCTCCACCCAAAATTAATAAACGGTCGCATTATCTTAACCTTGGTAAATTGAAACCAGCCAAAGTGGCGGAAACGCTAAAAACCAGAAGGTCTCCTTTGTACACTCGACCACCCGTTTATTGACACACAAATGCATTTCTAAAAATACAGTTGGCAGAACTGGCGTTAATAAAATACCGTTGATGAGCAGAGTTCACACCTTTATTTATTTTTAAGCGGTAGAACAGAGCAGATATTTCGCGTAAGTTGGGCTATTTTTGCCTTTTTTGTTTTTTAATTCTTTCGCCGGTTTTGTGGGCGATTTTGTTCTTGGAGACAACACGAGTGACGTCATTTGGGACGTCATAGCACTTGGCTGGCTTTTTTGCCACACGTTTAGTCGTTTGGACGCTTGCCGGTTAGTTACGGAAATAATTAACACAAGTAATGCCAAAGTTTGGACGGTGGAGAGTTATCAACAGTTGATTTAACCTGATTCCGTTAAAAAAAGACTGGCACTTTTTTGAGAAAAGTGTTTGGATTGACTTTGTAAATAAGTAGCGACAAGAATTAATGGTTAATTAGTGGAGATAAGTGTCGTTAATTACTTAATTATGTACTTAAATGAGTCTGGAAGAAATTTGTTTGCGTCTGGAATCAACGGTAATTGACCTCAGAAGGTTATGGCATTTCGTGCTAAAAATAAATCTTCTAGCGTACTAGTTTCCCTATTTTATTGCTGTGAATCGCACAGTACAGATGGTTTTTGTAAAATGTGTAGAGTGTGATTTTGGCAGCGGCTTTGGCAGCACTGGCTCCAACAAGAATGATTTAAGCAACTGAGCTACTTGGATCCCCTGCATCAATTATTTTCAGCCAGTTTGATTTTCATGAGTCGTCTTGCATGGTTTGTTGTAACAGATGCCCAGGATACCGGGAAGGACTTGGCTAATAACGGTTTACTGAATTTGAAGAAGCCTATTTTTGTAAATTATGTGAAAGAAACTGTATTCCATGAACTTAACTTTGTTTTTCAGAAAAATGCATAAATAGATAACTGTGATACTGCACTTCAAAAATATAAACACAAAAATAAATAGTCACCTGCAATAGCCCCAGCGTGCTTCGCAATCTTCGTGTTGATTTTCAAAATCATATTTGCGAAAAATTCCAACTCTTTCTATGTTACTATTTTTTTACAGCTATCAAGATCGCACAGTGTCGCTAGAGTAACACTGAATAGTATGGAAGTGAACTTGAATTGTTATCGTCTAGACACGACTTTTAATTGGTGGACATAATTTACTTGTATTATCAACAACATTGTCATGTGATTTTGTAATAAACTTTGTAGTTTTTTATTTTCCCAAAGCGTCTAAGATTACTTAAGGAGTGTGTTTCTTTCGTTTGAAATATGTATGGCTTAAAAATAGTGAAAAATTTACTTTTCTTCTTCTCTCGAGTGGAATCTATTGGCGACTTGTCAACAACTCCGTATAAATCACCACCCATCTTTCATTTCCTTTTACCCATGATATTCTTTGTGAGCAACGCACAGATGCGCTGTGCCAAATACGTTGGCAATGAGTGTCCTACTATTTCAGTTTACGTTTGAATAAACTGAGAAAAAATATAAAGGGGAACAATCGAATAAACTGAGCAAATGACGTTAAACTTGTTTTCTCTGTTTAGCAAAAATAGTTATCACTTTGTTATTGTCAAAAATAAATTTAGAAAAAATCGTACAATTCCTAATTGTAATAATCCCGCACCGACCTTTCTTTTCCCTCACCACTTCGTATCAATTTCAATTAATAAATTAAACTTCTGTACATTTCCTCACTCAACTATTTAACCAAACCCGTCGTCTCAATTGAGCAGTTGTTCGCGATTATGCCTTCGATTAGCGTACTTAATTAAAGTTGAACAAACTCGTGACTGTCAAAATGCAAATTTCGTCAACCCTCACCCTCAAAACGACGCAGCGAAGTCGCATCTATCAGTACCTGGCAGCCTTCACAGGTAAATTTATCACCACTAATAAAGGGTAGGCAGAAAATCCGATTTTATTCTCCAGGGACACTCGGGATCGTCTCCAGCGAAATGCACTACGGCTGGCCTTCGCCCTCTCTTCCCATTCTCAAAAACGGTACTTATGTTATCCAAATCGGGGAAACTGAAAGCTCCTGGTTGGCCATCATGCCTCTAATCGGCGCCATCCTAGGCGCCGTCATGACCGGCCTGGTCATAGACATTCTCGGACGTAAAAGGTTGATCCTCTTCTCTGGGGTACCATTTTTCGTCTCGTGGATAGTGATCGGGTTTGCAGAAACGTCGGTACTTCTGCATGTGGCGAGGTTCTTAGCTGGGATGACGGACGGATTGTCTTTTACGGCGGTACCGATGTTCCTGGGAGAGATCGCCGAGCCAGAAATACGAGGGTTGTTGTGCTCCATTTGTCCCGTGTTGATAGTCGTGGGGCTGCTTTTGATCAACACCATCGGGAGTTATTTGGATATTTCAACAACCGCGTTTGTGGCGTGTTCCATCCCCGCGATTCTCCTAATCACGTTCATTTGGATCCCCGAAAGTCCGTACTTTTTGTTGATGCGGGGGCGGTACGACGAAGCCAGGAAGAGTCTTCAGAGATTTCGAGGTACCACCGACGTGGAAAAGGAGCTGGAGAGATTATCGACGGCTGTTCAGGAACAGAACAACAACAGCGGAAAGTTCCTGGACTTGTTCACTTCTCCGAGCAACCGCAAGGCCATTTTCATCGCTTTGGGACTCCGCAGCGTCCAACAACTCACCGGAATCACCGCCATCACCATCTACTGTCAACGGATTTTCATCGCGTCGAACAGCTTCCTCTCGTCTGCGGTGGCGACGATCATCTATTTCACGGTACAGTTAGTACTGTCGGCGGTCGCTTCCTTCATGGTGGATATTTCCGGGCGGAGACCGCTCCTCATCATCTCGCTAACCGGAACGGGAATCACGCTTCTCATCAACGGTACTTACCTCTTCATCAAGAACTGCACAGACATCGACACCTCCGACTTCGATTTCGTGCTACTGGTGACGTTGTTGGCTTTCATTATCATCTTCAGTCTAGGACTTCAAACCATTCCGTTGCTTATCATGTCAGAAATGTTCCCGACTAACGTAAAAGCGTTCGCTTTGTGCATCGCCGACGTTTATTTTAGTGTTATAGCGAGCGTTATTTCGCAGTACTTTCACGGTACGAGCAGTGCGTTTGGGATGCACGTGCCTTTTTACAGTTTCGCGGTGTGCTGCGTTTTTGGGTTGGTTTTTATCGTTTTTTGCGTGCCGGAGACCAAGGGTAAAACGCTGGAGGATATACAGAGGTACTTGAAGGGTGAAATTAAGTTGTAAGAGTGTGTAATGAGGAGTAATTGATTCAATAAAGTTGGTATGGTTGGTTGTTGACTTTTTAATCCTTGGTTGATTTTAGTTGATTTTATCGGAAACGAAATATGCGTACTTTGTCGTTAACTACCTTGAAACTCGCTCATTATCGTTCGTCGTTATGTGGTGGATATGTCAACATTACGAGTAGGTGAAACTCATGTAAAACAATGACGTAATCTTTACTTTATTGAATCTTGTGAACAAATCCGATTAAATTAATGGCGACCTCCAGAGCTTTCTGAAAACTTGTTCCAGTTTATGCAGTGTGTCTCTGGTGGATATACTAATATAAACGTTTTGAAATATTTCAAAAAATTAGTGGGTTAGTGTTTGAATTATTGAGTTTTTTAATTTTATACTAAGGTGGTACCCAGTTCCATTATGAATGGTAATAATCGCATACATCACAACTGTTGCTGACTCAAACTCATTTAATCTATTTTTCCAGCCGAACAATTGTTGAAGATATATCGATTCGAGTGTATCGATTTTTTTGAGTTTCGAGTCGTCAAATTCTTGGTATACAACTTTATAGTCATTTTCAGTATTTCGACTTTGTTCCAGACAGCTTTGTTCATTTACAAATTCGAACTAAATTATCTTATTCGGTTTGGACCTTCCTATGTCATAATAATATACGTAAGAGTTCAGTTACAGAAATTACAAGATTTTATTGTAGTGATTTTCAGTTACTAACGATTCTTATATACATTCCTATCTTAGTGGAGATATTAAATGAGGTCACTACAGATTTAGGATCTAGGCAACTAGAATGTGACAACGACATAGTCAACACACAAATCGAAAAAGAGTTAACTCAAGGCATCGTCTACATGGTCATTAGTCTAATTTGTGGAATAGTCACTGGATCTACATATGCTATAGCGTCAGATGAAGAAAATCAGTTGGTTTATATTTTTCCATTATGCGAAGAATATTTTCCTACATGGACATTTATAGTTGAATGGGGGTTTAGATGTTCCATAATATTTATTTACTGCCTAGCGATTACTTCGCCGTCTCATTATATAATTTATGGTCTACTTCTAATCAGATTAGAAGAACACAGATTATTACACTCTCTTAGAAACGTCAACCAAAATTACGAGAAACAGGAGCAGTTGGATTTGGCGTCGCAAAACATCATAAAAGAAAGGCTAATATCCTGTCTGAAACGTCATATTCACTTCAGCAGGTTGAATCAGTACAGTTATTAGATGTTTTCATTGCAATAAAATTTCAGATCGATACGCAAAATTTTAAAGAAATCAGAAAATTTGGTCTTGCCTCTGCAAATAGAATCAGTTCTTTACTTTATGAGTATTGTCGTGAACAGTCTCATGGTACTATAACATTTAATAGGAATTAAAGTTTCTTATAGAGGGTTGTAGGTGGATGGTACTCTCTCGAAATTGTCGTACTGGCGTTTGATTTCAGTCACAATCACCGCGGTTGTTGCATTATCTGGACTCAGCTTTTACGGTCAAAAGATCGAAGATTTGGTAAGTTTAGCAGCACGAGTTATTAAGTCCGAAAATTGTCGAACTTTCAGTCCGAGAACATCTTTAATTGTTTGATTAATATCAAGTGGTACCACTGGAACGATACCAATAAGAAACTGTACCTAATGTTTTTGCAAAATTCGTTGAAACCGTTTAAAATAAAGTTCACTGAAAATATTTCAGTCAATTATAAAATGGGAATAGAGGTAAGTTGATGATAAAATATAAGCGTTTTCAAAATTTTAGAGTGTATTTTAGATTATTAAATCTTTCTTCTCGTTCATATCTGTTGTAAGGCAGCTACAGAAAAAAAGGGATTAGTACCTTTAAAGAAATTTTAAATTGGTAAATTTTAACATTCTTGACATATTTACACGCACTGTTCCTAATGTAAAAAAAATAAAAATAAAAAAAATGTTTTGTAATTATTAGTATTATTACCTTCTCTGGTGAACACAGTGAAGTCATCTTTAAATTATTGAACGAGAAAATTTGGACAGATCTACTCACGTTAATGGTAACATTTAGACCATGTCCAAACTTTCCTAATTTGGAAACTCCATCACAACCAAAGAGTCATCTTTAAATTATTGAGTGTTAGGTAGAAAATTTGTCCGAATTCATACATTTTGAATTCAAACTTTGTCGTTTGAAATAAAGACTACGAACAACATTGGGGTCAGTGCAATAATTTGTTTCCATATTTATTTATCCAGTTTGTGCTGTTCCATAATGGCTGGAATTATGGCTGGTAAGGACGAAACTAATAACTCCTTTAATTATTTCTCACGTATACTGGTTTCCTAGGTGAGACCTTGTTGAAGATGTATCGATTCGAGTGTATCGGTTTTTTCCAATTTCGGATCGTCAAGTTCTTGCTGTACAACATTATAATCATTTGGAGCTTGTTGTCCTTGTTCCAGTTAGGTCTGTTCATTTACAAATTCGAACTGAATTACCTTCTTCAACTTGGACCTTCATATTTCATAATAGTATTCGTAAGATTCCAATAACACAAATTACGAATTTTATTGCATAGATTTTTAGTTGCTGACTTCTATCACGTACATTCTCATCTTAGTCGATTTAGTAAATGATCTCACCCTAGAGTTCGAATCTGTGCGATCAGAATGCGACAGCGCTATAGTCAATCGACAAGATAAAAAAGAATTCATTCAAGGCATCACCTACATGGTCACCAGTCTAGTTAGTGGGTGCATCACCGGAATTACATATGCTAGTTTTTCGGACGACGAAAATCAACTGGTTTTCTTTTTCCCTTTGTGCGAAGAATATTTCCCTAGGTTGAAGTTCATAGTTAAATGGGGATTTAGATTGTCGATTGTGTTTGTTTATTGTCTAGCCGTAGTGTCGCCGTCCCATTATATAGTTTACAGTCTACTTCTTTTTAAAGTAGAAGAAAACATACTATTACACTATATTAAAAACATCAACCAAAACTACGAGAATGAAGATCAGGTAGACGTGGCGTCACAAAACATCATCAAACAAAGACTGATATTCTGCCTAAAACGACATATTTTTTTTAGCAGGTTGAATCTGTCCAAAAATTGCGTTTTCCCTACTACAATTAAAATTTTAGATCGACTCGTAAACTTTTCATGAAGTCAGAAAATTTGGTCTTGCCTTTGCAAATAGAAGGCGCCCTCTACTTTATGTGTATCGTAATCAACATGTTCGGGGTATATTTTATACATTCGATACAAACTAAATATTTTTATAAATCGTTGTAGTTGGGTGATGCTGTCTCGAAATTGTCGTACGTGCACCTAATTTCACTTATAACTACGGCGTGTGTTACATTAGCTGGACTTAGTGTTTATGGTCAAAAAATTGAAGATTTGGTAAGTTTGCACCAAGTACGATTAGGATATTTTGTAAAATTTTTAGTCGGATAATATCTTTAATTGTTTGATTGATGTTAAATGGTACCACTGGAACGAAGCCAATAAGAAGTTGTACCTCATGTTTTTGCAAAACTCGTTGAAACCGTTTAAGATAAAGTTCACTGAAAATATTTCAGTTAATTATAAAATGGGACTAGAGGTCAGTATAGTGTAAAGTACGACCACCCATTCAATTTTGGTGTTTATTTTAGATTATTAAAACTTTCTTCTCGTTTATATCTGTCGTGAACCAGCTGCAGCAAAACAAGGATTAGTGTTGTAAACGGTATTTGATAATTGATTTAAGACTTGTAGTACGATTTAATAGTCGCTAAAATATTTTTGTTGTTAAACTATTTTCATTTGCATTTAGAGATTCAGAACAATAAATTTTAAATTTGATGACTGTTCTAGGAAACGTTACTAAATCTCTTCCTATTGAAAGACCGCTGGTCTCATTGATACTTCCTACCTACTTCAGTTCTACCTACTTAAGAGTGAAGTGAAAAATATTTCAGCATATACTATATGGAAGATGAAGGCATCTGTTTAAATTAACATTTTTTTCATTTAATTTCAATTGAACTGCTTCAATAATTTTATTTACTCAATAAATATTTGGTAAGCTGTGTAAGTGGTGTACTATGTATTAACACTATTCATTTTAAATAAGTAAATTATGTAAATAAACCATAGAACCAAATCAATTTTTTGCTACGACCTTTATTCAAAATGCCAATAAAATCTAACTGTAAGAAATAACGGCAAAGTTGTATTAGCCTCATCTGGCAACGTTGTAAATTATAATGCCTACTATGAGATTCTTACAATTTTTTTTCATCGCCCTCTATCGAGTGGTAGATTTAAGAACCGTTTTGTTGCTGTTATGGGGGTTGCCGATGCGTGCGATTGGAATCCAAGCTATCATACCCACTATATTACAACAAATTTCACATCTTTTACAATAATAGCCCAGAGTCTCACCTAGCAGCAATGAAATTACATTATCATTGCAATTCCTGGCCAAAATTTGTCACAATTTTGATTATTAAATTTTAACATGAAATTAAGTACGGATTTTGAAGAATACATGCTATTTATAAATTCAAACATGCCATGTAATCATTTCATTAAAAATTAAGTAGGAAAGGGAAAAGAACAATTTTTTTCCACGAAATGATAATGACCCATAGATTATTAGATAATTTATTTCAAACTGTTATCGAATATTAATTTAGCCTTAATGATGCAGTGATAACTTTTGATCATTAGGTGGGTAGCTTTCAGAATAAACTGATCTGTTCCATTATGACTGGTAAGCAAAAACTTATTTTTAGTAGTTGTGTTGAAAATCTTACCAGACCTTTTTCCAGTTGACGTTTTGTTGAAGATCTATCGATTCGAGTGCATCGGTTTTTTCCAATTTCGAGTCGTTAAGTTCTTGGTATATAACATGATAATCATTTGGAGCTTGTTGTCTTTGTTCCAGTTAGGTTTGTTCATTTACAAATTTGAACTGGATTATCTTATTCAACTTGGACCTTCATATTTCATAATAGTATACGTAAGATTCCAGTCACATGAACTACATCATTTTATTTGTACAAATTTTAGTTGCTTATTTCTGTGACGTACACTCTCATCTTAGTCGATTTACTGAATGATCTCGCCCTAGATTTCGAATCTGTGCAATTAAAATGCGACAACGTCAATCAACAAGGTAAAAAAGAATTCATTCAAGGCATCACCTACATGGTCACTAGTCTAGTTAGTGGATGCATCACCGGAATTACCTATGCTAGTTTTTCGGACGACGAAAATCAACTGGTCTTCGTTTTCCCTTTGTGCGAAGAATATTTCCCGAACTGGAAGTTTATGGTTAAATGGGGATTTAAATTCTCGATAGTGTTTATTTACTGCATAGCCATTGTGTCGCCGTCCCATTACATGGCTTATGGTCTACTTCTGTCTAAAGTAGAAGAAAACATATTATTACATTATATTAAAAACATCAATGAAAATTACGAGACACAAGAGCAGTTAGATGTGGCGTCGCAAAGCATCATCAAACAGAGATTGATATTCTGTCTAAAACGACATATTTTCTTTAAAAAGTTGAATCAGAAGGCACATTAGACTTTTCTTTACTATAATTAAAATTGTAGATCAATTCGTAAACTTTTAATCAAGTCAGAAAATTTGATCGTGCCTCTGCAAATAGCAGGCGCCCTCTACTTAATGTGTATCGTAATCAACATCTTCGGGGTACCGTTTTTATACACTTAATACAAACTAAATATATTTTTGTAAATCATTGTAGTTGGGGGATGCTATTTCGAAATTGTCATTCGTGCACTTGATTTCACTTATGACCACGGCGTGTGTTTCATTAACTGGATTTAGCGTTTATGGTCAAAAATTTGAAGATTTGGTAAGTTTGGAAAGAGTACTATTTAAGTTAGATATTTTGCAAAATTTTTAGTCGGATAATATCTATGACTGTTTGATTGATGTTAAATGGTACCACTGGAACGATGCCAATAAGAAATTGTATCTCATGTTTTTGCAAAACTCGTCGAAACCGTTTAAGATAAAGTTCACTGAAAATATTTCAATTAATTATAAAATGGGACTAGAGGTCAGTCTAGTGCAAAATACGAGCGTCCATTCAATTTTAGTATTTATTTTAGTTTATTAAAATTTTCTTCTCGTTTATATCTGTTGTGAACCAGCTGCAGCAAAACGTTAGTGTTTTAAATGGTATTTGAATAGAATAGAAACCCTCACCCTTAAATCGACGCAACGAAGTCGCATCTATCAGTACCTGGCATCCCTCACAGGTAAATTACCACCATTAATAAAGGGTAGTTCCCGAAAACCCTCGATTTTATTTTCCAGGGACACTTGGAATCATTTCTAGTCAAAAGCATTATGGCTGGCTTTCGCCCTCTTTTCCCATTCTCAAAAACGGTACTTACGTCATCCAAATCGGGGAAACCGAAAGCTCATGCCTCTAATCGTGACCGTCCTGGTTATAGACATTCTTGGACGTAAAAGATTGTTCCTCTTCTCTGCGGTACCATTTTTCGTCTCGTGGATAGTGATCGGGTTTTCACAAACGTCGGTACTTCTGCATGTGGCGAGGTTCTTGGCCGGGTTGACGGACGTATTGTCTTTTACGGCGGTACCAATGTTCCTGGGAGAGATCGCCGAGCCAGAAATACGAGGGTTGTTGTGCTCCATTTGTCCCGTGTTGATAGTCGTGGGGCTGCTTTTGATCAACACCATCGGGAGTTATTTGGATATTTCAACAACCGCGTTTGTGGCGTGTTCCATTCCCGCGATTCTCCTAATCACGTTCATTTGGATCCCCGAAAGTCCGTACTTTTTGTTGATGCGGGGGCGGTACGACGAAGCCAGGAAGAGTCTTCAGAGATTTCGAGGTACCACC